ACAAGCGTTTAGTTAAGAAACAAATGAATCATGTGAGCTGCATCGAATGCCAAGTGCTTAAAAGTACAAATTGAATGCAGCTTCTTACTTGATTCAACTGTTATCGTTGTCACGTGCTTTTTGTTCTAAACACGATATTAATGAGTCAGTCATTAACTAAGCCTATTTATTGTACTTAGTTTCGTTTTATTAAATTAGGTGATATCGTGTGTTTTCATTAAAATCAACTGACTATGATGATATATTAACTTTGCGTTTCCGAATATGTCTGCGCATATTAAACATTAGAATGAAGTTTAAAAACAATTTCATTGTTTTTCTGTAGAATCTAATGTATTCGATTCTTTTAGATAAAATTAGCTCGTGACTTTTCCTGTACATAGCTTGCTTGCTTGTGGTAACATACGAAAGGTTTACACAATACCTAATTACTTTTAAGACGTTTCTTCTTACGTTTGTAAGTATTACTAAGATTATAATGTATACCAAACAAACAATGAGAGAGATTCTACCTTTTGTTGCAATTTTGTTATTTTTTTAGGAGTTGCATATAACTTAGTTTACAGTAACAATAACAAATAGGCTTAGAAATCTGTGGAGATCAGTATTGAAGCACACAATGAAACAACTACCTCCTGCAATTAATTTAGTAAAATTGTATTTGTATTGGAATTCGTGTTTCTCGCGATGCTAACGAGGCAACTCCAAAAACTAGCATTTGACGGACATTTTGTTAAAACGGGTGTCACAGATACAGGTAAAACATGAGGACTAAATTTATTTACGTTATTAAGTTAGTAGTTTTTAATATTTTGAGTGCACTGTTTTATCTTCCTCGCTTAAATTTTGGGAGTAATTAGCCTCTTTAAATGTTTGCTAAAAGTTAAAGTTGGGAATAACTATGGATTAACTTCTATTGAGATCCACAAAAAATGAGAACTTGACGTGAACTTGAATATATACACAGAGTTTTTCACAATACATACACAGACAATTCACAATACAAACATACACAGAGAGTTCACAATGCATACACACATTTCACAATACAAACACAGAGTTTTCATAACATCAACCAAACACAAATATTTCACAAAATAAACGCAGAGATTTCACAATAAAAACACAGAGTTTTTACAATACAAACACAGATATTTCACGATAGAAACAGAACGATTTCAAAATACAAACACATTTCACAATACGAGTACAAAGGTTTCACGGTACAAACGTAGGTTTCACAATAAAAACCAAACAGAAACATTTCACAACATAAACACATAAATTTACAATACAAAGACAGAGGTTCCATAATACAAACACAAATCTCACAATCTAAACACAGATTTTGAACAATACAAGTACAGAGGTTTCACAATATATACAAAACATAAACATTTCCCAATATAAACCCAGAATTTTGATATATAAACACAGAAACTTCGTAATGCAAACCCAAGCATTTTACAACACAAACACATATTTTTAACAATACAAGCACAGAGGTTTCACAAAACAGAGTGTTTTCACAGTACAAACAAAAACATTCACAATACAAACATAGATTTCACAATATAAACTCAGAGATTTCACAATACAAACATAAACAGAGATTTCACAATAAAAACATAGAGTTTTCACAATACAAACATAGGCATTTCACGATACAAACACATTTCACAACACAAGCACAGAGGTTTCACGGTACAAACACAAACATATCACAACATAAACACAGATTTTTAACAATACAAACACAGAGGTTTCACAATACAAACACTTACATTTCACAATACAAATATACACAGAGATTTAATAATACAAACACAGGTTTAACAATATAAACACAGAGTTTTAAAAATAAAAACGTGGATTTTTAACAATACAATCACAGAGGTTTCACAAAACAAACATATTTTAAACAATATATACACAAAAATTTCACAATATAAACACAGTTAGAAATTTCATCCTATAAACACAGCCATTTCACAATAAAAGCACAGAGATTTCACGATACGAACCCAACTTTTCACAATACAAACACAGCGATTTCAAAAATACAAACACAACATTTCACAATACAAACACAGCGATTTCAAAATACAAACACAACATTGCACAATGCAAGCACAACAATTTCAAAGTGCAAACACAGACATTTCACAATACAAACACAACAATTTCACAATACGAACACAGCGATTTCACAATACAAAGACAGCAATTTCCCAATACAAACACAACAATTTCATAATACGAACACAGCGATTTCACAATACAAAGACAACAATTTCCCAATACAAACACAACAATTTCACAATACGAACACAGCGATTTCACAATACAAAGACAGCAATTTCCCAATACAAACACAACAATTTCACAATACGAACACAGCGATTTCACAATACAAACACAACAATTTCACAATACAAACACTTTTTAAATATCGTTCTTAATTGTTTAGTGAATAAACTTTTATGCAACATGTAAATCTAAGT